GTGACCCGAATTGGTCGTGAACAGAAGCGTTCGTGACCCGAGGTACCACTGTATCTTTATTTTTTTAATCTTCATTCTTTTATTCTATTTTCTATATCCTTCTTCTATATCCTCTCTGAATCCAATTCATCTGTCTGTATTCTTTGATTATCAGCTGACCAGAAAAAGAGAAGAAAGGAAAGAAGACGAGAGCTAAAGAATGCAGATTAAACCATCAACTGGCACCATTAAGAATGGAAGCCAACTGAAAGGAAGACCTATCCATCCTGCCTGCATGGCTGTTCCTAATATATGAGGGGTTTTTTTCCTTGTGAAAGGAACTGACACATCAAAACAAGGAAGGAAGGTACAAGGCCAGAACAAAATGTGATTTTTTTTCTCTTTTTTTTGTGAGAGAATCTGACCACAGTAGCTCATCACCCACATGCTGGCTGGGGAATTCTGGGAGTTGAAGTCCACCCATCTTAAAGTTGCTAAGGTTGAGGAACCCTGGGCATATATTACACCTGTTTTATAGGGCCTGTGTTGGCTTCCTATTAGCTTCTGAGTGCAATTTAAAGTGCTGGTATTAAACTATAAAGGCCATTATGGATTGGTGCCAGGTTGTCTTCAGGACCACATCTCCCCACTAGAATTGGCTCAACCATCTTCTCCATTCTGAGGGGCGGAGGGGGAAAAAGCCCAAAAGTGCTGTTTTTCAGTAACAGGGCCAGTCTTTTGCAGTGACCTCCTGTTGGTTCATCTGTCTTTCACATTGTCTGCCTTGTAGAAAAAGCTAAAGTTAGAGCTTTCCCAGAGGGCTTTTTGGGCCTGATGACATATATTCTTTTTGGGGTTTATCTATTTTACTCTTGTGTTTTCTATACTTTACCATATTTTTGTACCTTGTTAAATACCAAGCAATTGGAGTTCATCCAAGATGCATACAAAGTTGATAAATAAATAAATCAGTGCTCTCTCTCTCTCTCTCTCTCTCTCTCACATACATACACACACACACA